CTTGAGGACCTATGGATACCCTCATAGAATAGCCCTGGAGGACCTATGGGTCCCCTGTTAGGATAGCCCTGGAGGACCTATGGGCACCCTCGTAGGATAGCCCTTGAGGACCTATGGATACCCTCATAAAATAGCCCCTGGAGATCTCTCCCTTAGAGTCTTATTTGACCTTTGACCTTTAACCTTTGACCCGGCACAGACAGACAGACACTGAACATTATATATATAAATTAATTATTTAGAAAGTTAATTTCTTGGTCTGATGAAATATGTTCATCTTTTAAAATTTTTGCCCTCTTCATCATTTGGAATACGTTATTTTCTAATTTTCCTTTTTGAGGTAGATCTTTAAAAAACTTTGTTATCATCAACATTGTCTCTATCGACATCAAATGTTTCTTAGCTTTTTTCTGTTATTTTATAGAGTAATTTTTTTCTGAGAAGTTTTATCAGTTTATTCTTAAATATCTACCATTGATTCATTGTTTTTGTACGATCATGAGTGCAATGATATACTTTCTAGAAAATGGCCAACTAAGTCAAACTTATTAAATGTTATTGAAGATTAAACTGCCGTAAAAACAATATATCTATCCAAAACTCAATTGTTAAAGTGAAAAATGGCAAATCATAAATGTTTCTATGTATAATCACCTACTTCATCGAATTCTCTTTTAATTAAACCTCACTTTAACAACAAATTTTCACTTTGCTCATTTTCATGCTACAAACACAATCAAATTAGCTAAACAAAACGATCGTTTTATGTTGTCATATTTTTATTCAGCCTCCTACGTATGATTTTTCAACTCTTTGTTCATGAAGTATTACTATTATAAAGCTCTAAATCAGATTTTAAAAGCAGCACATTTTTATTACATTGCATGACAGATAGCAAAGAAATGTGAATTATCTGAATTACGCAGCATTATAAGCTGAATTTTTATTCATTGAGTTGCTTTTTTGTGCCCCATACTCCAATTAAATAAGATACAACAAAGCAGTAACAAAAAATATATGGACTTGCTATAAAAATCATTGAATTACTTTTTTCTTGCCTCGTGCTTCAAATAAACTAGACACAACAAATCAGTAACAAAAAATATGTTGACTTGCTATCAAATTTATTTTACTACTGCTAGAAACTTTAAATGGAACAAGAGATTAAATATCTATGATAAGATATTGAGTGGTCATCTATCTTGATTACATAATCCTGACGATTAAATAGCTATTCAGTTTCATAGAACAATACAAATTAAATAGGCATAGAAAAATATTAAATAGCTGTGAGCATCTATTAAGAAGTACTGGCGATTAAATAGCTGCTTAGTTTTATAAAGGTGTATAAGTGAAATAGCTATGCTAAGATATTAAGTAGCTATGTATCTCAATTAAATAGTACTGGCAATTAGATACCTATTTAGCAATGTTGAAAAACAATAAATAAATCCCTATCAAATCGCATGAAAGTTTTGACGGTTGGAAATCCTTCATTATTTAAGTGAGTATAAAGAAAAAGATAAGCTTATATATTAATCGTTAATGCATAATATTCTTCCAACGGTAGTCATCAACTCACCTTCACTTCATCGACATATTTGTGGTAGATGTCATCTACTCGAGAGACAATGGTAAATCGACTAGGTGGTTCATATCGAGGATCAAAAGTTTTTAATAAATTGATCATGCCTGATTTCGTGAACGTGGTAAATGGCAGTGAATCGTCAATGATACAATCAACAATAGCTTTATCTAATTGTTTTTGACGAATCTTTGGAAGAGGTGTTGACATATCGTTTGATACAGCAGGTTTTTGTTTCATTTGAGATAATTGTGAATCATAAATAGCAGCAGCAATATCATGTTTTATGAAGAGATGTCGACGTAGATTAGTTGCTGATCCATTATATGCCATGTATGGCTATCAAAATGAAAAAAGAAATTATGGAATATTCAATTGAAATAATAGTCGAAACAATAGAAATAAAGAACAGCAAGTGAAACTGTTATCAATAAATGTTCAACACTTGTTTAGTTGAATAGATGTGCACTCTTCTGAACTTTTTAATTTGATCTTTCATATAAATTCGTTTTATCAAAATGATTTTATTCGAAATGACAAAACGCACTTTTTTATTAGAACCCGTTGTTTATACTTTAGATAAAACTACTGCATGGAACAACGCAGCTGTTCTCTACTTAATTTCCGTTCTTTCTGGCCACTATTTAAAGTATTTTCTTACATTATGTTTAAGGAGATGATGAAAATTACCTGATGACAAGTATTGCAATCGTATCGACCATCTGATCGTAGAGTGAAGTACGATAAAACTGCATCCTTTTTTATTTTACCCGATCGAGTTGTAATACGTATGTTGTGTTTTTGATGTTGTTCGTCATCCGATGGACAGTCGAAAGGTAACGGTCGAACTGGCAATTGAGAACGATGAGATGGATTTGATGGAGGCATAGATGAAAGAAGAGAAATAGGAACATTTTCATTTTTTTTGTTGGTGGGAATTGATGATTGATTGATGGTTGACGATTGATTTGAACTACGACGAGTTGGTTTCGGTGTGGAAGTGGCACGATTAGAAGTATGGTTAAGACTTTGAACATCAGAAGAATTCAAACTACGACCACGTCTTCGAGCTACTGAACAACGACGAGCAGAAGAAATTGGAGCATCGGCTGATGGAGATGGAAAAGACTGATATTCCATTTCTTCTTCGGTTGACATCATTTGAATTAGATCGTTTCAAAATTAGAAAAGCACAAACAATGCAAGTAAATGTTATGATAGAAATGTGAGAATGACAGAGAAATGAAGAAATTCTTTTTCTTGTTCTGCCATAGACTGAACTAATCACTTTTCTGTTCATCTATATGTTTCATTCGATGAACACATTTGATAGAAGAGAAAAACAGAAAAAGGACGAAAATACATGTGCTTCGAGATGGACCTAGAAGCTTTACGTTAGTTCAAATAAATGATCTTATCTATTCTAACGGAGCATGCCAATCGTTTCGAATTACAATTGCAAGCTGTGCTGCATCAAGAAACTAATCAATCCCGAAATATATACATAGGAGCTTTCAACTAGAATCATTTGTTGAGACAAATATTTATCAAGTATTTCAAAATGGATATTCTTCCTGTGTTCAGACAGTTTTCTGAACTTCTGTTATTTATCATAACAAGAAGGGTTCAATGGATTGAAATCATGAAAATTTCCTGAGAAGTCAATCAGTTTCTATTGTTTTGAATAGTGACACACGTGTGAAATATCTTCATTTATATGATCTATGCAAACTCTCAAATTTCTAGATCGATTGATGTCATAGAAGTAGCAAATTTATTCCTTAAACATAGACCAGTATAATTGGTATAGTTGAGATAGACAGAAATTCGAGTTGAAGGTTTTTCAGAAAAAAAAGTTATTTGTTATTAATAACAATAACAATAAATTCACACCCCTAGTCAGAATCGTTTCAGACGCTTACGATTCTTTTTTGGAACGAATTCTATTTTACAAGTGAACATTCGCAACTAATAAGCACCGCTCGTGTCCGTACTTTGCTGACGCTTGAAATTCATCATGTATACAAATTATCAAAAAGGATCCATGCCATTACTGCTGGTTTCAGAGCGAAGAGAAAGACAAAGTATCACGGTAGGTGGTACCACTTTTTCTGTTTTATTTATATTTTTTGTCATACGTTAACTAGGACATGCATTTTTCTACTGAAATTTTGATGACTAACTTATCTTTTTTTGGATTATTTACCCTTAAATTTTTAGTCAAATCTAACTTTGTGCTTGATAAAGAGACAATATCTTATTTTCAATTTTTTATAGACACTTTTATTGTTTTCTCAACGTCAAGCCCAATGAAGATTGGTATGGTCTTCTTTAATTTTATGAAGAGGAAAAGAAAATTAAAATGAAAAAACAGTTATAGTATTTCTCCTTTCACAAATAACTGGAAAAGTATACAAAGAAAACAAGTGAAATAAAATAAACGCTCTAGGAAAGATATTGAGAAATGTATTATATGGATGATATTTTTGAAAATAAGTGCATGAAACAAAGCTTCCACATCCAAATAAAAAATTTTAAAACGGCGTAGGATACAACAAGAGAGTTCTGCTCTATGCGGCGTAAAGAATGATACTTTTTTTTGACGACAATGCGTCACATGTTGTTTGTTTCTGATAAAAGAATAATTAGCAAAACTTCGGTTTTGTCTCGATTGCAAGCAAAGTCAGGCTCAACTCAGAATTTATAGACAAATAGCCATATACAGGACAATTTAGTAATTAAGTTTTAAAAGGCAAAAGAAACATTTCTTAGTTTAAATAAGAGACTATAAACAAATGACTCAGAGAAGCTAGTGCCAACCATCGTAATAGATGTTCCGTTCCTAATTCTGAAACCAAACGGCAATGGTGTGAATCCTTTTAGATAGTTTGTACACATGAGCTCGAACGGTACTTATTTGTAGAAAATATTTTCTCTTTAGCATGCTTTGGGGTTGCAGACCTCATCCTGATCATGGTCTCATCTTCATAATGGACTGCACCCGAAGTTTGTCCCCGTCCTGTATTTCGATGTCAGGTTCTCATGAAAGTTGTGGAAGTCCAAGAGGTTTCTGTTTGTGTCGTACTTAAGCGAGAACTTAGTAGAGGGGTAGCATTCTCAGCTAAAGTGTCGGCTTCGGATACGATCTTTTTAACCCATTCGCCACGATGTGGCCCACCGGTAGGCCACACTATAGTTTAACGAGAAACTTTATAGAAAAGCATTTTCTTTTGCTTTTATCTTAAGCAGGAGGTTAAATATAAGATGTGATATCTGCTGCCTTCGGTATTTTATTTGAGTCCTTTATTTCATACCATAATGCTTATCATTAAAACACTCACAAGAAAAAAATTTATCACAGTCAGAACAGAAAGTTTTTACTTTCTTTGCTGCTGCATAGCTCGCTTCTCTTGATTGTTGTGCCCTTCCCGTCGCATAGCAGCCAGTGCACCCTCTGTTAACATTGCGCGTAGATCCTTCCTTTTCTTCGAGCTTGTGATCAGCGAGTTTGCGGCTCGAATGACTTGCTGATTGTTGTCTCGGGTCAGGTTTCACTTTCTCGATTGGCGTGCCAAAGGTTAAAGACCGGACAAGGCTTTCACAAAACTGCAGAGTAGTCACTTTGCTTCTCGCGTACTTTTCCTTGTATATCAAATAGCTATTTACTAGTACCGTCCCAAAAGCTAATGCAAATGCTACCTTTCGGTACCACTTTATTGACCGCCTGAGGCACGTGTAATATAATGATAGCTGATCAGATACATCACTTCCTAGTCTTCCATCATTGTAATCCAGTACAACTTGTGACTTCATGATGCGTTCATTTTTACTATTGGTATTTCCAGTATTCACCACAGTTGCTGAATCCGACGGTCTTGTGGATATCATCAAGACGTCCTTTTTGTCTTTCCACATGGTCAATTTTACGCTGTCTTTCTTCTGAAGGCCATAAACTTCACCGCGTCTAAGGTTTTTCTAGACAACTTTGCTTTCCGATCCGGCACGATTACTTGTCAGTGTCCCAATCAGATACATATTATTCTCCAGGAAACGTTTTGCGAGAGAAATACTAGTAAAGGAGTTGCCAGCTATCCCAGTTCGATAACATCCTCCAAGACCATCCAACAAACTCATTACCACTGTTTGAGCATGTCCAAGACCTGTCATAGGATGTTGCTCATCAGTATAGATCACACAATTCCAGGTGTATCCATTGGTAGCCGCAAGCTTGTACATCTTTATGCCGCACCTGTGTGTTTTACCAGAAATGTATTGTGTGAACAAAAGCCTGCCTCGCCATGGTATCATAGTTTCGTCGATAGTCACAGCCGAGCCAGGCATATATACTGACGAAAATCTGGCTTTCAGTAGATCTGACAGTGGTTTTAACTTGAAGAGCCCATCTTGATTCGAATCTTGGTTATCGTTTTTCAAAAAATGCCAAAACTTGAGGAGTAATTCGAATCTCTATCTCGGCATAGCGTTTCGAATAATCTCCGATCCGTACAACTGACTGTTGCTCCAGTCGTGGATCAGTCTCGGCATTTGTACCAACCCCATATCGATGATGATCTCGAAGAACTTGAACATTTCTTTATCAGTGGTTGGTTTCCATTCACGTTATTTGAACCATCTGCTAATCGCATGCGCTTGCAAGTATTGCTCCGCATATCGATTACTTTCACGAACCATAAGGCTAATAATTTCGTACGTGACGAAATGTCGATAGCAATCGATAGGATCGATTGTATTATCTTCTGAAGTAGAAGTTACTTCCTCGACGAATCCATGATTTTCCATGAATTCTTCATCGGATTCTGATTTTATTTCGTATCAAACGTTTGAATCCACCTCGTTAACAGTCATTTCTTCATTGGTACTTCCAGATTCAAGATGCATTTTGTCAAAATCATCATCCAAAGGACTCACTTCATTTAGTAGCCTAGCGCTTTCTTCTATATCAAGTTCTTCGAGCGACATGTGAACTATTACGAAACTTCTGCCGCTTCTTTATGTGAAAGCACAGAGACAAGAAAAAACAGGAAAAACCTGGAACTTTCGTTCTGACTCATTATGTGATGATACAAAAGAGAACAATGAATCATCCATGAAAGAAAATGAAACGGTCACTAAGTCCATTTATAGGAAGTTAACACTCGACAGGAATGGATATTTCGAAGACTTTTTCAAAGAAAACTGAATCGTGGCGAATGGGTTAATAGATATTCAATTTGTTTCATGTACTTGTTCATAACAAACAAATTATGGTAAATCATTAATAAAGATTGATGATGAATCAATAAATACTAGTTCATCGAGTAGAAGAGTCTAAATATAAAGTATTCAAATTACTGGATTCTATTCTTCTATAAAAAAAAGAAAGGAAAAATAAAAGTTCAAAGTTTTATCAATTAAAAACAAAAATAGAATACCCCCCACAATAAAAGATTCGGGGTCTTCTATTATGTTTAAGCGGAATAATTTTTTAGGGGGGTCTTCTATTATGACTCTCGTATTTTTGTGATTTTTGCGAAACTCACAAGTACTTTCGAAGAATTCAGTAAATGCAAGTTTAAGTTCAGTCTTTAAGGCTCCTCAGTTCCTATCATAGTGACCAGATGCTGAGAAAAACATCACTGTACCTTCCCGCAGCAACAAAGAATAGGGAGTAATTAATATCAGCGGCTATATTATTGTAAAATTCTGTAATTTCTAGTTTCTGTTCTAAATATTATATTTTTAAGCTTTGTATAGCTCATATATATTTCCGTACAAACTAATAGTGACCGTAAGTTTGAGTCAAGGTCTTTCAGCTTGTTCCCTCTTCTCCATTACATGTCGTAACAATCACTTATATTTAAAAGGTTGTGGAAATTTCTAGAACCTTTTGCTTTTCAATAGTTCGAATATTTTTATGAGCATTCCCAAAAAGCTAGCCTCCTTTTTTTGCACAGATAAAAGTTTGTAGGATTAATGTGAAAGATAATCTTTTGTGATTTTTCATAACGGTAGCATAAGTTACATAAAAGCGTGATCAAACTACTTTCTAACTTTTAGAAATATTTATTTTATATCTTACCCAGTACATTAATATGCATACAAGATTGTCAGGGTCTGGCGAAGATACAACCGATGTCTATGCTAAGCTTATTTAATTATTA